GTGGGAATTCAGTAGGTATTTGAGCCTCTTCTACTAATGCAAACTTTTAGAAATATATTTATTTATTAGAACATGTGACTGCCCAGCTCATAGAAATGGCTCTAGGCAGCCAACACAATAAAAACATCAAAACAAGAACAGGAGACTAAACACAACACACAAAAATAAAAATAGGCACCGTGGATAAAGTAGTCAGCCACAAATTCATACAACTCGCAGGCTGAACTATCTCCCGACTCCCGTGCCTGAAAGGAAAGTGATGTCTTTACGAAAGGCCAGCAGGGCTCAGTCTAATGTCTGGGGGAACGGTGTTTCGGAGGGCAGGCGGTGTTACAGAAAAGGCACCCTTCCTAGGTCCCCCAGAGGACACTCGAATCAACAGGACGCAGAGCATGGCCCTTCTGATGGGTGGAGACCATAGGGGAGAGGTGGTCCCCCAAATAGGCTGGCCCCATGCCCTGAAGGCCTTTGTAGCTGACAACCAGCACCTTGAGTTGCACCCAGAAGCCTGCTGGGAGCCAGTGCAGCTCAGGAACCCAAAGAAACATGGGCGTACCAGACAGGCCCAGAATTGGCGGGGCTGCCGCCTTCTGGGCCAATCGCCGCTTCTGGTTCTTCAAGGGCAACCCCATGTAGTGCGCCTTGCAGTAGTCCAATTGGGAGGTGACCAAAGCATCCTGTAGCCAGTGCAACCTATCTTGCTCCTGCCCCAGAGAAGCAGATGGCTCAGAGGAGATGGGGGTGGCAGAAAGGCTGGAATTAAAAATTAAAGCATCCTTATTTTTCTTTAAATAACATTCAGCAGGGTTTTTGGCTCCTGTGAGGAAGAGTAGAAAGAGAGAAACATGTTGAGCCTGGAGGGTATCGAAGGAAGGACGTGAATTCCTGATCTCAAGCACCCAAAGGCTTGTTCATGCGCAAGAAGAGAGCGGAAGTGGTAGAGCTGGCAGGAAGGGACACGTCTTCTGGCAGGAGAGGTTCCACAGCAGAGGGTCTACCGCGCAGGGAGGTTGTTACAAGCAAAGGCTGCAGAGTCATTTGAGGGGGAAACGGAGGGCTGTCCCTCACTGTGCATTTTGCCTTAAGCAGCAGGACGTTGGAGTGAGTGCTGCTTTCTGGGTCGGTAAAAAAGAAATCGGATGAATCAGCTCCTGCTGGATATGGTGGATTCTTGCTCTGGGGCACTGCAGGGGCTGAGGAAAAGGCAGCCTGACCAGCCCTGGGGTTGTGGCTTGGAGGAACCCTTTTCTGAGACTTGTCTCCATTGGGCCTGTCTAAACAGGCTCTCTGTGTTTAGAAACATGCAGACCGTGGTTGCCCTGGGACCCTCTGTGGATGCAAAAGCAGCAGCAGCAGGAAAAAAGGGGAAAAAGTTTTGGTGCTTTTGAACGTCAAGAAACCAGGAGACGGCGAGTTCGAGTCCTGCCTTGGGGACAAAGCCTGCTGGATGACTTTGAGCCTGTCACTTTCTCTCAGCCCTAGGAAGGAGGCAATGGCAAACCACTTCTGAAAATCTTGCCAAGAAAACTAGAGGGACTTGTCCAGGCAGTTGCCACGACTCAACAAGAAGTTGAAGAACACTAAATATAGTACAGTAAAAGTCTCCTTTGAGTTGGGCTAGAACAGGTGGTCCTCTTAAAAAATGCCTGCACTTAATTCCCCAGGATGATAAACTTCATGCTTTGCTGAATTGTCCTTGCAACAGTGGCTGCCTTTTGTGTTTTCCATTTTCCTGCAGGCTGGCTCTCAGCAAGGCCAGGATGCCAGAAATCAGGGGAGGGGGAACACCGTTCCTGTTACTCACCCTCCATTCCAGAAGGAAAGATCAAGTCTCCTTCAGCTGGATTTCAGCTCCCAGAGATACCACCCATATGCTGTTTTCTCAGCAGCACAGCAGAGGCCACTTGGCACAGTCTTCCAGGAGATTTCAACTTTCCCATCTAGCTTGCAGGACTGGGATTTCTTGTTGGTGCCCCATCCAAGGAGTAATCAAATCTGGCTCAAGTGTCCTTTTGAGCAAGGTCAGTCAAGTGTTGCCAGTAGGAGAGTTCTCTTGTCTGTGGGGATGAAGAGGCTGCTGCTGCAGAGGATGGACCACCTGAGGGGCATTTGGCCCAAGGGAGGCACTGCAGAGAGCATAGGAGGGAGCCTGAGTCTGGAGGAGGCTGCCTTAGATCCTGGATTTCTACACCACCCTTTTCTAAAAATATTAGAATTTCACAATATAGTAAGAGTATAATCAATGAAAAGAAAAAGAAGAAAAAGAAAAAGGGAAGAGGTGAAAAAAAACACAGAATTTTGACTTCCAACCTCCTTTCTATGGAGTATTTGCCACCTTGCTCTTTCCCCTCCTTCTATAACCCTTCCCAATCCCCAAATCCATCAATCATCCATTCTGTCCTTTCTTCTTCCAGCAAAAAGTCCACTTAAGGCTTCCAGTTGATTTCCACACCACCCTTCAGTAGAAATGTTGGACCCACAAGAAGAGAAGATCTAAGCAGCTGCAATTGAAAGGCAAGAAGGAAGATCTGCAGGTCATTCTGGGTTCCCCGTTGGGCAAGAAAGGGGATCATTCAGCTGGAAAAGGGGTCAAAAAGGAGCAACCACAAGACGAGGAGCTTGAATTTTAAAAAGGGGGACTTGAGGGAGGATTGGGAGAGTTTGAAAACGTTACTGTGGAGAAAGTGGGGCCCTTGCAGGTGACCAGTCTCTCTGTCTCCTGAACCTTTGGATTCCAGCATTAAATGCACCCAGGACCAGATCACTTCCCGCCTTCTTTCCTTCCACCTCTTCCTCTTTATGGGATCTTTCAGGTGACACCAGCAGTTCTGACCAAGGCGATGAGTCACAGACCAGCTGGAACTCCACTGGCAGCAAGAGATGAGTTGGCAAGCCAAGAGCCGGGGGCTTTTCTTCTCTTTTTCCTTTTGCGGCCCAGATTGGAAAGAGCAGCAGCCTTGAGGTGGAAGGTCGGTCACAACAGGGACCTACTGAGATCTCCTGCAATGGCAAATCCCTGACCGTGACATCATTGGATCCTCACGGGACTCATCTCATTCCAGAAATAGAAGTCCTTTGGCTCTGGATCTCTTCACTCCCAGTCCACCTTCACCATTACCCACCCTGGTTCTAGGGCCGAGAGGGACGGACTGGCCAAGCATCCCCCAGGGACCTTCCATGGTGATGGTGGGGTGGGTGGGCACAGGAATGTGGGTCTTCCTGTTCCAAGTCCAACATTTTCACCATTGCACCTCCCTGGCTCTTGGACTGGAGAAGTAGGACTGGTGTGCTACCTTGGGCATCCGGAGAAAATGCAGTGAAGAACGTTATTCTGTACCTGTTTTCTTTGTGCCCAATTTGTTACATGCATCTGACTCCAGTTCAGACTAGCTGGTGACTGTTGAAGACCAGCTTTTTTGAAGGGCCATCTGCATGCAACTGAATTTCCTTGGAACCTTTTCTCACAACCCTCCCCACCCAGTCAGATCAAAAGGTGGATCCTTGTATTATTTCAGATTGCTTTTAATTAAGGTGAAGAATCTGATATTCCATGTGGCAATGCCACTTGTTTTCTGACTGTGGAAAGAAACCTGGTTTTATATTTGTATGATGTGGGTTTGGTTTGACCTGATCTCACAAGTGTCTTGGTTGGACCTTGCTAAGATACCACCCTACAGACCCCAACCTGAATTCTGGATCCTCCCCTTTTTAACTGTAGACCCAGGCCCAAGAGAGTCTGGAAAGATGAGGAAGACCATCTCTGCAGGACCACGGAAGGGGGGTGATCCATGGAGGTGTTTTATCCAGAATTCTGGGAGTTGAAGTCCACACATCTTCAAGTTACTCAGGTTGAGAAACACTGTGTTAGGAGATCAGACATTCAAAATGATCTTAAAGAGACAAATAGGCTGAAAGTACGTTTATGCTCTCACACAAACTTAGCAGATGTCTGCTGGAGGGGAGTAAATGTTCAGGGGCCCATTTTGCAGTTGGGGCTCCTTCCCCCTTGGAAACTGGTCCCACACAAAAGGGAGGCTAACTGTCCCCCCAACACAGAGGATCCCCAGCTTGGCATGGGAGGGCCCGGCTCAAAGCCCAGCCTCTCCAGATAGACCAGCCCTCCCCACATGGGTGCTCTCCAGATGGGTTGGACTAAATATCCCATCATCCCCAGCCAACTTGGCACTTGGCTCGAATGATGGGAGTTGAAGTCATCAATTGCTGGAGAGAAAGGCTGGTGAAATTTATTTCAGGCTCAAACTGGAAACTCTGGACATCCTTGGGAAGGAGCCTGGAGGGGCCGGGGGGTCTGAATGGCCAAGAGGCTGCCCAGCTAAGGCAGCTTCATGTGGGGGGCTGTGGCTGGAGAAAGAGTCCCCCAAGGCTTGGGCAGGGCACGGCAGCAGTTTCTCTCCCCTCCGATTTCCACAGGCAAAGGTGGCCCTGAGGGGCTTTGGCCTGTCGTGTTTGGCTCCCTTCCAACATCCTGGTTTGGGAAGCAGCCGGCATTTCGTTCGCCAGGGATTCTCCAGGCCCACAGAGGCCTGGTTCACACAGCAGATTTAACCCGGCCAGTGATAAACCTGGGAGGTGCCTTTGCACAACCTTCTCACATCAGGTTAGTGGCAACCTTGGTGAATTTTCCCCTCTGGGACTCAAGTGTTTTGTGTGTGAATCCCCCTGTTTGCACAAGATGCTGCACCAAAAACTAACCTGTTTCTGAAAACAAACAGAGTTAAGCCTGCTGTGAACCCAGAGAGGAAAGAGAGTATCTGAAGGTGCGGCTAAGATGGCAGAAAGGAAGTTTCCAGAGACTTACCCACAGGTACAGCCTAATTTCCACTCTGTACATGCTCAGTGGAAGGCTGACAGCACAAGGGAGCAGGAGATGGTTCTAGACCTGAAAAGACCCTTGCATCTTACTCACACTTTGCTCATCATAGGAAGTGTAAAAGCAGCAGCAACAACAACAATTATCAACTAAATTTGGCGATCATAACCACGATCATAACCGGAAGAGGGATTTACAGTATTATTTTATTCAAACGGTTCCCCAGAAGAACCGCCAAAGGAGGGAGCGGCCATCTTAGTTGATTGCGGGAAACCCGAGGAGCCCTGAAGGTTCGTGAAGATTCATGTCTGCGCCGGAGAATGACAAGAAATGGGGGATTATTGGGGTTCTTTGCACTCCCGGCCTTTTCCCAGACGAGAGACGCGTCTTCGCCTTTAAGATGCCACGAGAGCCGGCAGGGCCAAGTTCACTCGGGGTTTCCGACCTTCGCCTCTTCTCCGCCTGCGAGAGCTCTGCGGGGTCCAAAAGGGACACGACCCCCTCCCCCCCCCGGGCCAGATCAGCCTCCGGCTCTTTCGACCCCCACAGTGCCGCCCCTCCCCCAAGACACGAATCCCTGGAAGGGAATTTTCCCCGATGGAACTTTCGCTTTCCTTTCCAGCTTCTCTCGCTGGTTATACCTGGACGTCTGCCTAGCAACCGCAGACGACACGGGAATCCTTTTTTCCTACTGGCTACGCCTGGCCAATCGCCGGCTCGTTCTGGATTACTGCGTTGTTGCTCACCCACCGCGCCTCATTCCTTGTCCGCGACTGAAGGGGAGCGGAGCGCAGGTGGAGGTTTGCGGACAGG